GGGGAAGGTCCCGCCGCGCTGTCAGGACCCGCCGCAGCTCACGAAGGAAGGGACTTACGTGCGGGGAGACCCGACGGTTGGTATCTCATAGATACCAACTGCAAAAACAAACTCTCCACGTGTTCTTCAAAGGCGCCCTGACAGTGCAGAAAGCCTTTTCCTTATTTATCTTGGAATCAAAAAAACTTTTTTTTTTTTCTCCCAAACTCCGAGGGAATCTATGCTAATTATTTTAAACCCGTGGGTCTCCCATTGACACAACCCCTGCTTTCTCTAACGTTTAGTTCGCGTACGCCCGAATGCATATTCATTCCCTCTCTCACTCATTCGGGGCGTTTTACCACCCGTCTCTTTGCTTCTAATTTCAATAGTTTGGGGAGGGGGAAAAAAAAAATCAGATCTTGGGACATTTAGGGTATTCATTAACCTAGTGAAGAGGAACAGAGGCATTATTACTCACATAGACGGCACCCTGCCCCCATGTCTATCTAAGGGTTCATTGTAAAAGGATTAAAAGTTAAAGACCTTCATCTTATGATTCTTTCATTTAATCTTCGTGGCGCCTGAAAGACATGCTGGATGGATGATCACATTTAAAATATTCCTAATGTCGGCTACCTTAGGACTCCAGGCAGGGCAAACAAACGTAATTTATTTCTAGAAGAAAGGGGATATTGAGATGTTTAAGTTTATGAACCACCATTACCATGTATATTTGTTAGGTTCTGACAAATACCCAAATAACATTAAAATCAGCCATTCATCACATATGAATTTATGCAAAACCTTCTATGCCTGGGGCCAATATTTTTTTAGACAGAGTTTCACTTGCAAAAAAAAAAAAAAAGTTTATTTAAAAAAAAAAAAAGCCAAAAGCAAGAGTTTTTCATGACTGGTAAACATGAGAATTATGTGAACAGAAACTATTTCATGCTGGGATGGCAGCCAGGGACTCGGGAATGTCAGCAAAAGTTCTCCGAAGGTTGAAAATGTCACTGGATTACAATACAAGGTCCTTTGCCCCATTAGCAAACTTTACTAAAGTAATATTCCCACTACTTAGCAAGGGGACTCACCCAGTGATTTATCTGTCTGTGATCCGAGCAATGGGGCAAGCAGAGACTTCATCTGGAAACCACCTCTGACTGTTTGCTTAAAGATTTTAAATTTTTATGTGTGCAGAGACGTGTGTATTTGTGGGTGTTCTGTGAGTGTAAAATAAGTGTGTTGTTAATATAGTCTAAATGTCTGTCACTGTATCTGTCTTATTTTTAATCTGATAGTCACTGTAATCAGTAAGACGTATGTATATACATGCTTTCTCAACTAATAACTGCCTGTTACTAATAAATTTACAAGAATATTTTGGGTTAAAAAAATCAAGTTTCACCATCCACAAGGCCCATGATTTTTTTTTTTTTAAATAAATAGCTAAATTTTGTCAGCTGGTAGAGCAAAAATAAACTAGTAGTTTTCACTGTTGTTTCTGGTCAGGTTCACTTTCTGGTCCTCCTGCCCTAGTGTTGAAATGTTTGGCTTGTAGTGGAAGTGTTTCAAGCCAAACAAATAAAATATCTTTCTGATGAATGTTTCTATGCAAATCTTTTTAATATTAGATTTTGTAATATGTTTTTAAAGCAAAATTGAATTATGGCTCTTTTAAATTGAAATCAATTCATAACACAGCCAATTTTTGTTTGCTGATCTTTATAGTGGCATCATAAGACCTCACAGAGACCACTGTGGGGAAGAAATAAGAAGGGAAAGGTTGAAAGTTTGCTTTTAGTTACTCTTCATTTTCTTCTTTTGCAATTTTAGTGTCTTAAAATGTAATGTCAGAAATTTAAATTCATTTCTACCACCGCCATAGACTGTGTAACCTCAGTTGAGTACTTTAACCTATGTGCTGCAGTTCCTTAGGAGGAGTACAGGACTTCGTCTTCCTTATCAGCATAGTTAGTCTTTATCCAGAATAATTTTTTCTCTCACACCGTGTGTTTATTCAAAATCTAGTAAAGTTAAGGCCCAGTGTTCAAGGGGAGGTTCCTTGATGGTATTGGATTTAGTGCCCAAGCCATTATTTTTGCCAGTGCAGAACAGTATCTTACATAGCATTCTCAAATGCTTTATACTTCTGTTCATCAGGAAAAGCATGTGACTTTTAATGAAAGGTGTGATGTTGTAGGCTACTTTGAAAGTGCTAAGAGTAACACAGTTGACAAAAGGATAAAAAAAATAGACCAGAGTAAGTTGTCCAGATGTTTGTAGTAAGCTCATTCAGAATTAATCCGGAGAGTGTGAAGAAAATGAACCAACTAGGAAAAAGTTGTTACGCACACCATTAAAGCGTTGTGTCCTCACACATGTACTTAACATGTGATTTTTTTTATCCTTTCCAAAATACCACCACAAAGATAAATTCTTGAGATTGCATGTGTGCATGATGGAGTCATCACAACGATAACCGCAGCTAGAAATTAGAGCAGTAGTGTTTGTATAAATACTGGACAAGTTTTTCCTCTTCCATAGTTTTAATAGAGAAATAATCTTAGTTTAGTAACGTCAACAGCTGTTAAAAAAATTCCTAGCAGTTCACCTTACTTGGGTTGTGTTATATAAATGTAATCTGCACCATGTTGGCTGGATCTTGGATCCATTAAAAAGAAGATATTCCAGCTCGGAGATTTGCCAGGAATCTTCACTGAAAGTTGAAATAAATATAATGATGTCATCATATAATATAACATCATAGCTTTCAAGGTAAGCCAAACCAAAGGTATGTTGGCAGGGGAATGCTGCCACCTGGTAGATCCATGCTAGGAATAGATACGATACTCTCATCCAGCGGGGAGGAGAATAGCCACACTCTTCCTGGAGCGCCCACAAGGATCCTGCAGTCTTTCTGTGCGTGCAGGTCCTCGGGGAGTCTTACTACACGCGAGAGCTGCAGAATCTGTGTCAATGCTCTCTTTTAAGAGAGCAGCTACAGCAAATTTGAAGAGACCCTTTCATTCCCTCTTCCTTGCTCCCAGACCAAGCAAGAAGCTCCAATGGTTAAAAGGAAGGGAATGAATACATTCACTTGAAACAACTGTTGGAATGGTTCAGAGGGGAACAGAAATATTCAGCAATCAACATTAAAGACTCTAAATCCTTAGAGGTGTTATTGCAGGATCAGCAGCTTACAGCCCTCTTTCGTGAAGGCTGGGTACGAATGTATTACTGTTAAGTCTCCTGCAGCTAGTTCTCTGTGGGGAAAAGCAGCTGCTCTATGTGATGTGCTTTCTGAAGAGTCTGGGAGAAAAGATACTGGAAGAGAAATCTGCACAGGTATAACGTCACAGCGAGCCACTGCTGAACTGGAGGACAGGAGCTGCAGGGATGGCACAATTTAGCCTCCAACTCTTTAGGCGGATAGTTTAGATGGAAACCAGCTGAAAACAGATGCTCTGGGGGCTCACTGGTTGTACCTTCTGCCCTCTCCAGGGGTATAGTTATGCTGCCATTAAGCATGGTTCTGAGCCAGCACTCAAGACCAGACCAATCTGTGTGTGCGCGTAGGCCTGCTCAGCCTGCAGATACCCCGGAAAGCTTAGCAGCCATCCCTGCGAGGGCCTCTCACAGCATGCGGGTGCTCCTACGCAAGAGCTACCACCAAGCTAAAGGCAGCAGTTCTGACTGAAGGCGCACAGATCTTTGCACTGACTAGGCTAGAGCCTA